TGGATAAATGCAAGGTATTGCATTTTGGTAAAACAAACAAATGCAGGACTTATACAGTTAATGGTAGGGCTCTGGACAGTGTTTTGTTGAACAGAGATACCGAGGGGTTTAGGCACATAATTCTTTGAAAGTTACATCTCAGATAGACAGGGTAGTTAAGAAGGTGTTTAGCACACTTCCTTCACTGCTCAGACCATTGATTATAGGAGTTGGAATGTCGTGTTGAGGTTGTACAGGACTTTGGTGAGACCACTTTTCTAATACTGTGTACAGTTCTGCTTGCCCTGCTATAGGAAGGATATTATCAAATTGGGGAAGGTTCAGAAAAGATTTACCAGAATGTTGCTGGGAGTGGAGGGTTTGAGTTATAAGGATAGGCTGGATTTTTCACTAGAGCATAGGAGGCTAAGGTTAATGAGGTTTATAAAATCATGAGGGGCATAAATAAGGTGAATAGCAAAGTATTTTCCCTATCATGGGTGAGTTTAAAACTAGGGCGCATATCTTTAAGGTGAGAGGAGAAAGATTGAAAAGAACCTGAGGGACAACTTTTTTTCACACAGATGGTGGTTTGTGTGTGGAATGAACTGCTAGAGGAACTGATAGATGCAGATACAGTTACAACATTTAAAAAACATTTAGATAGGTATATGAATAGGAAAGATTTAGAGGGATATGGGTCAAATGCAGGCAAGAGGGACTAATTTAGTTTGGGAAACTTGGTTGGCACAAATGAGTTGGACTGAAGGGTCTGCTTCTGTGCTGCATGACTCTATGATTCTATCTGTAACGAAAACAGAAATTGCGGGTAAAACTGGTCCGGCGGCATCTGTGGAGAGAAAGCAGAATTAACGTTTTGAGTCTGATGACTCTTTATCAGAAATATTGTGGGTGAATTCAGAACTAGGGGAAACTGTTTTAAAATTAGGGGTCAACCTTTCAAAACAGAAAAGAGAAGGACTTTTTTCCTGAAAGTGTTGTCTGACTTTTAACACTCTCCCTCAGAAGGCAATGGAGGCGGGATAATTGAATATTTTCAAGGCAGAAGTAGTTACATTTTTGTTAGGCAAATGAATTAAAGGTCTTGTGACTAGATCGGAATGTGGAATTTGAAATACAAACACAGTTATGTGGTGGGTTGAATGAACTCTGCACTGCTGACAGTCATTTGCAGCACAAGGAAGAGACTTGTGAAACAAAAACAGAAATTGTTGGAGAAACTCAGCAGGTCTGGCAGCATCTGTGAAGAGAAAGCAGAGTTAATGTTTTGGGACCAGTGACCTGAAATGCTCCACGGAAGCCGATATACTATCATCAAGTCACTCTTTATTTACACATGGAAAGCCGTTGACTCTGATTCAGCGTCCTCAGAGACAGCTCTCAGAGTGACTAGAACCTCTGACACTCCTGTTTATATCTGTCAGCCAGGGCTCCCTGATTGGGCCAGATTAACAACCCCAATTCACCTGGCTGACCTTGTTACAATCACTACATCACTCCCCCTCTGAATCTAAGGACATAGAACAGTTTTTTTTTGTAGCTCCTCCTGGGGCATTTTAGCACTGGTCAGGTTCCTCCAACCCTGCCTCTAATCTGGGGAGTGCATTAGGCACAGGAGCTTACCTCTTGCACTCGGAACATCTCAGAAGAAATTCATTCTCCTCTTCAGGCAGCAAAGGTGTCGAGGCAGCAACATCCACCGTATCCATCTCAGATTCTGAGGTATCTTCAACAATAAATGGAGTGGGAGAATGCACGGGTTCAGGAACAGTTGGAAAGTGGGTTGAAGAGCAGGGCATGTTGTGCTCCTGCACCATTTGCGAATTTGTAGCTTTCATATGGTCCACAGGCTTGTTCAGGACTGTTGTACCTACCCAAACTTTAAATGTCACTGGACTTGACCTCATGTCAACTATGCTTCTTATCCGTGCTGGGCCATTTTCGTGGTTCCTTCACCAAACTTTGTCCCAAAAGTAAACTGGGTCTCTTGCTTAGTGGAGTCTTGTGTCCGACATTGGTATTCCTGATGCTGTTGCATCCTCACCCCAGGTTTGGGAAGATCAGATTTAACTTAGTGTGGAGTCTTATCCTCATTAGCAACTCTGCTGGAGTTATTCCTGTAGTTGCATAGGGGTGGTCATAAAATCAAACAGGAACAGCAACAGTTTGGTATCTAGTGAAGCTGTAGGCTATTTCATAAGCCTGCCTTCAAAATTTGGACTGCACTTTCTGCCAGACCATTGGATGATGGATGGTATGGAGCTGTCCCTATATGTCAGATATGATCTGACTTTAAGAAATGCTCAGATTTCCTGCTGGTAAATGATGGCCTGTTATTGCTGGCAAACACTTCCGGGATTCCGTATATTGCAAAGGATGTGCGCAGTTTTTCTATCATCATCCCCACGTTTGACAAATGAATGGCATGCACGTTCAGCCACTTTATGTAGGCATCTACAATGACTGAGAACATTGAGCCCATGTAAGGACCTGTATAGCTGCGTTAAACCAAGTCCAGGGTTTATGCACCCAATGAATGTGGGAAAGCTGCAGGTGGTAACTTCTATCCTTGTTGGCACTCTGGGCACTGCCCCACCAACACAGCTATGTCTGCATCCAATCCTGGCCACCAGACAGAGCTTCTCACCAACATCTTCATTTTGGAGACCCTGGATGATCCTGATGGAGTTCAGCCAGTATCTGGTGGCTATCTTTGCTTGGGACAATCACTCTTGCTCCTCATAATATTATGCAGTCCTCTACTGTGATCTGGTCTCTCTGGGTCCAAAAAGGTTTCAATTCCAGTTGCGATGGACCTATGATATCCCCAATCACCACCAGCTGTTTCAGTTTTGCCAGGACTGGACCTTTCTGCATCCATTATCTGCTACTGTCAGCTGTGACTGGAAGTGTGTTCAGAAAATTTAAAATCATTATGAACTCTCCCAGTAACAGTACCACTGGCAGTGTATCTGCAATTGGGAGGTGGCTCAATGTAGCTACGTTTGCCACTTGGCCTCACAGGCGGTGTTCCAACTTGTAATTATACGTACTTATTATTAGAGCCCACTGCTGAATTTGGCCTGAAGCTATAAGCAGCACTGCCTTGTCCTCTTTACGTAGGCCTAGCAGGACGTAGCTGTCCTTTAGTACCACAAATTTTTATCTGTAAAGGTATTGGTGGAACATCTTGACTCCAAATATGATTGCCAAACCCTCCTTCTCCATCTAGGCGTATTTACGCTCTGCAATAGCCAAAGTCCTAGATGCATATGTTATTGGGCGTTCCTCTCCATCGGGCCACCTATGAGCTAATACTACCCCGATAACATACAGGGAGGCATCATATGCCAGTACCAGATCTCCTGACACTCTCTTTATATCTGTCAGCCAGGGCTCCCTGATTATACCAGATTAACAGCCCGAATCAGGGAACTCATATTCTATGAGGTCTACCTGGCTGACCTCTTTACAATCACTATAGAGCCTGGTGAATGTAGGATCCATACCATTACAGCTCCATATACTTGCTTCAGGAGTTCCTCATGGTGGTATCCTTTACCAATCTATCTTCAGTGGCTTCATCATAACCTTTGCTGATGAGTGCACACTCTTTACTTCCATTGCCACAACTGAGATAATGAAGTAGTTTGATCGCATTACCACAAAGACCTTAAAAACAACCTGATAAATGGCAAAGAACATCTGTGTGACAATGTAATGACCATCTCCAACAAGACAGTCTGAGTAACAACCCTAGACATTCAGTAGCGGAACCAACACTGAATTCCCCACCATTAACATCCTTGGTATGACCCTGATAAATTCTATACTTCCAAGAGGAGGCCACAGGCTGAGGATTCTGCAGCAAATGACTCTACTCCTGAATCCTTGGACCCTGTCCACAAAAGCACAAGTCAGGATTGCAATGGAATACTTGTCAAGTGTATGGAAGCATGAACCTTCAACAGATTTAAGAAAACCAACACCATCCAGGACAGAGCAACATCCCTTGATTAGCCCTCATCCTCCACCTTAAGCATTCACTCCTATTATAATTTGTGCACTGTATTTGCAGTGTGTACAAGATGCAGTGTAGAAACTTACTGAATATTCTTCAAATTCTTCTACCTGAAAGAATTAAGGCAGTAGGCACTTGGGAACATGATTGCCAGCAAGTTCTCCTCCAAGTCACATAGCATCCATATTCTTGAAAATATTTCACTATTCCTTCATCACTACTGGATCCAGATTTTGTAACTCGCTATAACAATAAATACACCACATGGATTGCAGTGGTTCAAGGAGCTGGCTAACTGCCACCTTCCCAAGGCAATTAAGATGAGCAATAAATGCTGATTTTGCAACTGACGCAGGCATCCCATTAACAAATTAGAAAAAAGTAAACAACAAATCCAATGGTAAGTTAGTAGAAACCTTCAAAAATGCTAAGTAAGTGAAACTTATAAAAGGAGTAGTTAAGGCAAATACTAAGATACATTTAAGGAATCACTGGGTATGTATAAGGGAGAGAGGAACAAAACAATATTCTGATAGGGTTAAGTGAAAAAAAGGAGGGAAGAAGCTTTTTTGTAAGATAAGTGCTGACAAAGACAGGTTAGGCTGAATGGCCCATTTCTGTGCTATAGGTGCCATATAAATACAGTGATGTAGAATTCCCATGGTAAACCGAGAAATGTATTAATTTTATGGAGAATTGTGAAAAACATAATGTGGCAGAAATTCATTTGTATATCACTGCTTATATATATTGTCTGTAGATGGCAAGTTTTCCAGGGCTACCTGCAAGGCCCATGTGCCATCCTTCAATGAGGAAAACTACATAAAGTGCTCATTTATCTCCCAAAATATCTTCAACTGTTTCTATTTTTTACAATCAGCTGATGGTGTACGATGCCCAAGCTGTCACTAAGTGGTAAAACTAACAAACTTAATGAAACGATGTAACTTACATGAATATGTTTATGTTTGAAAAATACCTTGAGAAGTTTCATAATGTGCTTGTCGGTAGACATTTCCAGAAATTCTTTTTGTACTGCGGCATTTCTGTCAGCTAAAACCTCCACTGCTTTTATTGCTTTCATCTGCATCCTGATTTTCCGTCCACTGAGGATATTTACAAGCGCGACCACTGCGCCTTCAGCAACAATCGCATCTTGGTTCTTCGTGTGACCACGTGCAACTTCAGCCAAAGCAACTGATGCATCACCCTGCAGAGCTTCTAAATGAAAATTGCATTTACAACAGTTAGGACTCTTAGTCATATCACAAAATTTAAATGATTAACTAAAATGTTGACAGCATACCCAATGAGCCATGAATAGAAAATAAAGCAGCTATAAAAATACACAGCGAGCCTATGAATATCTACTTCAGGATTCTGGTAAGTAAAGGCACAATACTCCCAAAGAATGTTTTCTCATTAGAGAGGGATGACTGACAATGCTTTAACCACCTTACCTCAGGCAAGGGGAGAGATTGAGAAGGAAGGACCTTCATGGTAATCTGAACTGGTGTACAAATTGAACGCATACTGTAGGTGTCACAATACATTACAAACCAGTCAACTGAGCTAACCTTAGATTCTGCTAACCCATGGCCACTGTGAAACTGAGTAATGTTACTGAACAAAATAAGCTACATGCAGAGTCACTATCTGCAATTGTCAGGCAATATCAGAAACAGTGGAAGATGTCACAGCTGGCAGCCACTGATCATTGTCAACTTGTACAGAATGGGAAGCAATCCTATGTTAGATTAAAAGTTGCAATGGCATTGAGTTTCTATGCTACTAAGTAGTTCCAGGACTCAGTAAGCTACACATATATATATGAGGGAGTTTATCAACATTATGTTCAAAATGGCCAATGATTATGTGACATTCATCACAAACCCAGAAAGTTAAGCAGTCAGAGCTGTGGGATTTGGCTCAATAGCGGTGTCTCTCCAAGTAATGAGAGGAATTGACAAGACATATCCGATGTCGAAAATCCCAGGAAAGAGCAGCAGCATTGATAAACTGAATGGGGTTTAATTCCGCTGGTTTGTGACCACTGAAAGTGAATCCTGTATGTGAACACTCACTTTCCAGAGGGAGCTTTCAGAGCTCAAACAGTTTTAGTCATTCTTGTCACAGCTGTTTCCTCCAGCTGTGCAATTGCAGTGCTGGCTCTTTATGGACAGGAGTTATCTGTGAATACCTGGCTCATAACACCGTGGTCGTACCCGCAAAGCACAACAGAGGAGAGGTACAACAAGCAGAACAGAAAAGTTACTCCTTTATTCCACATGTGTTAGTGCACAATGACCCAAGGAGAGGAAGGGGTGGCTGGAGGGAGGTTGAGATGCCTCATTCCCTTCTTAGATTGTCAATGATTTCTTTACCCAGAGCAATGTTGCATGTCTCCTATACACTGAGTTGTTCACACCAGTTTGGCAATATTTTATTGACTCGCTGGCCTCACAGTCTGAAATTTACCATCTGCCCTATCCCTCCAGCCAGTTCAATCACCTTCTATTGTGCAGGGGTCAACATAGGGATGATGGCAACACTACCACTTGTCTTCAAGCAATTCTGTTGTTGTGCACTCCTTTGTGAAGCAGGCAGATTAAGAACTGAGAATCATCTCAATGCATAGTGAAACCTTTTAAGAACAAGCAGTTCACTCACAGTTAACATTACTTCCTTAATAAATGCTCCATCATACAATCTTTTGTAACTGATAAAACCTTCACATTGTGAACTGGTTCCTACACACTCAGACCACGTGTTCTCCACTGACACACTCAGATGGCTTAAATGAGTGTCATTTTTCAGTGACTGCGACTGTGCTATTAATTCTTGCAGAGAGTAAGAGGTCGTTGACCATTTTTCAGCAGGTGATGCAATTTCACTTGTGAATCCCACAGCTGCTAACCTGTACTGCACTTTTTTGGTCAGGTGGAAAGGTCTCTTGTCACCATCACTGGGAAACAGGCCTAGTCTGGAGGAGAATCTATATGGAGGCATTGCTAAACTGTGGGGCCTCTTGTTCTCTGTATCATGACATGTTCACTTTTGAATGAGGTGATATTGGGTGCTTGGGATAAATAGGTTGGATGGTGTGACAGCAACTCTAGGAATACAATTGTGGCAGTTGAGCAGGAGAGTCAGCAGTTCGAGACATCATGGTGTGGCAAGTGGGCAGGGGGTAGGAGCCGTGTGACGTCTGAACTTGCTGTTTAAATATGTTTGATCTGCAAAGTAATAATGGGGTCAGCAATTTCCTCAAGACCCACACACAATTAGCTGGCCCTTTGATTCTGCATATCTCACTGGATGGTTGCTGAACTGCTATGGCCTGCAGGAAGGCATACAGATGATCACTGGGAGATAGTCGGAACTGCCAATGCTGGAGAATCTGAGATAACAAGATGTGGAGCTGGATGAACACAGCAGGCCAGGCAGCATCAGAGGAGCAGGAAAGCTGACGTTTCGGATCTGAACCCTTCTTCTACTGGATCACTGGAACCTATACCCTGAGGGAGGGACAGGCTCATTGGCTAAATAACCCATCAATCTGGACGGCCAGATTCAAAAGCAGCCTATCTGGCCATCCATTAAAGAGGCTATGCTTTCAATGATTGCCCTGCTGTTCTGAACAAGAGCAATTATTGTTTCAGTAAGATGTATCCGATTCTACAGTCCTTCCTAACTTACTTATCTTATCTTAGGATTCAGGACTCATATGACAGTTGCTTTGTTGGATCTTTCTTCACTTCAACTTGGTTGAAGGCTGCTGGAGCGTGAGGTAAATTAAAACAAAGCGCCCAGGCCTTGCAGAAAAAGTGCCCTCCCAATCCTTGCAACTCCTAACAGAGTACATGTTCTATATTCATCAAATATATCCGATCCTAAGTTTTGAATCCCTGGATAGTCACTGATAACAAGTTTCCTGTGATTTTTTTTTGTGGAACAACTGGCCCTGGAGCTATAATGTTTGAGTAATGAGGCTGCTGGTAAACACTAAACAGATTAACATGCAGCATTTCGAGTTGAAGCATGTTTCATGTCCCAGAGTGTGATGCATGACCTAAGATGGTGGGATGCATCCCTGGATTCAGTTTAGAGAATATTTGTATACAACCTCACACAGATAGACAGTAATACTAACATGCTAATTGGAAAATCTCCAACCCAACTCTCAGAAGACCAGAAAGGCAAGCTTAATGGGAGCAGACATCATTGGGGAGTACAGTCCAGTAGATAGGTGAGGAAACAGTTTGATGCTTGATTCAAAAAATAGATTATTGGTATCAAAAAGACAGGGAAACCCTGTTCAACTGACAGGCCAGTTAAAGACTGGGAAGTTGCAGCTACTGTGTTATATCATCTGCTGCTGCCAGGATTCTGGACCTCTGCTTAGTGCTGGTGAGAATCTTGCAGTGGGAAGGGGAGGACACAGTCATCATGATCCACATGGGCAACAATGATATAGGCATGACAAGGAAAGTGATCGTTCACAGTCAGTGCAAGGAGCTAGAAAACAAGTTAAAAAGCAAAACCTCAAAACTCAAATAATCTATGGATTATTACCTAAGCCATGTGCAAATTGACAAAGGGATAATAAGATAAACAAATGTGTGACTCAAAGACTGGAGTGAGAGAAGTGAGTTCTGGTTAATTGGGTACCAAACTGGTATTGGGGAAAGTGGGCACTGTGCCATTAGGACTTTATACCTGAACTGTGCTGTGGCTGGTGTTCTAGTGAGCTGTAAAACTAGGGAAGTCGAAAGACTTTAAACCAAATAGCACTAAAAAGTGAGTGAATTTGGGAAGGTAAATCAAAGTGTAGAGACTGAGAAAACGGGAAATAATGAACAGACCGTGACAGGAAGGGTTAGAAAGTACAAATCTAAGAATGAATCAACATACAAGGCTAGAAATTACAAAAATAATAAAAGGACTAATTGTATTTTGGAAGGCTGGCAAAAAGGATTATTTTGCTCTAACTGAAATGAGAATTGTTGGAAATGCTTAGCATTTCTGGTAGCGTCTATGCAGCGAAATATAGAGATCAATGGCTCTTCAACAGAACCAGTGCAGATCATTGATCTGCAATATCTGTTTCTCTCTTGAAAGATGCTGCATAGTCTGCTGATTACTTCTCGAACTTTCTTTTGAGATTTTCCATTTTCAGAAGCTGCATTGAGATTTTTGATTTTCTTCCCCCATGAAATTCTCCAAACTGGGGACCTGTATGCATGGTTCATTTTATTTTAAATTGAGAACTATTTCTCACTCAATGTTAACAGAAAAAATACACTTTGCAAAGCCCACTCGTATGGATAGAAGTAGCATAATATTCCAAGTGATTTGGTTGGTGCTAACTTTGCTTTTTCTAATCTTGGAAGTAAAATCCAGAGTACCCAGAAGGGGAACTAATTTTGCAAAAAAAAAGGTGCTTTCTGGCACTTACATAAACAAGCTCTTTCTTTGTGCAAGTGTTAACAGCTTTAAGGTTAAACCTTTCCAAATTGATTAACAAATGTAAAGTCTCAGTCAAATCCCATAGTTACACTATAAGAGGTGAATGTCAATGGGCCAACAGGCAATGCAGCCACACTGGCTGATGTCAGGAAACTGACCAGGGCAGACAAGCAAGGCTGAACTCAAAAGAGGAGCAAATTACTGCAGTTGCTAGAATCTGTACTGGAAACAAAAAATGCTGGAGATCACAGTGGGTCAGGCAGCAACCACGGAGAGAAAACAAGCTAGCCTTTTGAATCCAGCTGACTTCTCATCAGAGCTGAAGTGAAGTGTGGAGGCGGCAGCATTGATATAATAGTTGGGGGTGGGTTGGAGTGCTGCGGGTGGAAGGATGTTGATTGTTCAGATTAAGCGATCAGCATGTGAGAATGGCAGAACATTGGTGTGTCTAACAGCCAAACTGAGAAGAACAGACAGTTCCACTGGAGTAGGGGGAGTGGATAGAGGAATACTTGGATATATTTCTCTCCCCTTCTCCAACTTCAGATGGACCACTTGTTCTTGCCAGTCTGGAGTTAGACTTACCTTTGTTCTGCCATTCTCACATTCTGATCACTTAATCTGAACTATCAACATCCTTCCACCACCCCCCCACAAGCACTCTACCATCCCCACAAACCCCATAACTATTGCATAAATACTGTCCCCGCCACACTTCACCAGCTCTGATGAAAAGTCATCTGGATTCAAAAGGCTAGCTTGTTTTCTCTCCATGGATGCTGCCTGACCCGCTGTGATCGCCAGCATTTTTTGTTTTCAGAACTCAAAAGAGCCCTCAATTCTGGCACAACTCAGGAGTGTGATGGAATTTCCCTATTATCAGGATGTGCAGCTCCAACAACATTCAAGTAGCTTGATATTATCCAGAGCAAAGCAGACTGTTTGATTGGCACCTCATCCCCAAATACTCACTCCTTCTATTACTAACACTCAGAAGCAGCAGTGTGCACCATCTACCAGATGCACTGCAGAAATTCACCAAGATTCCTTAGACAGCAAACCACTACCAACCAGCAGGAAAGGGGCAGCAGACACAAGGGAACATCGGCATCTGCAAAATGCCCTCCAAGATGGGCAATAAATACCGGTCCAATTAGCGAAACCAACATCTCACAACTGAATAAAAAAAACTCTGAAGATCAGAGTTTGCCCTGAAACCCTTTGGGTGAAAGCTATCAGATGTGCAGATTTTTCTAGCTGTGATATGGAAGGCATGTGACCTAATTTTGTATGAGCTGCTAAGTGTTGCAGCTTCTTTTAGATTTGAAATGTTAATCTTGCCAGATGTGTGAGAGGCAGAACTACTGTGGTGCAAGTAATGCTGCCTTAGTACCTCCAAACAAATGACAGACATTGGCTGCACATGAGACGTCTGACGAATATGTCTGGCTTCCCAAGAGGCAGTCCTCTGCACTGGCAACCTTATTATGCTAACTCATACACATTGAAGCATGAAGCGTTGAATAGACTATAGTATACACTCTGACACAGTGTAGCAGATCATTCACCTTTTCATCACCCTGAAATCATTCATCTTCTTGCAGCTGTTGAGTCATCCACTGGCACTGACATCTGTAACCACCTCTGCCCTGACTATTTTTTGGCAGTCAGGATGGCCTCCTGTTGCCATCAGCATGGAAAAGAAAAACTTTTTTCCTCTTCTGGACAGCCTTCAGAAGAACCTCTAGGGAAGGTACTGTTAAAGCATTGAACCACTTTTTGCCTCTTCCTTGATATCTCCAGGAGTGTGTGGGTTGATGAGTTGCGGTGGAGTGATGCCCCTGAATTACAGAGAGCTGAGTGCTGTCTAGGTGTCTTAAATATGGTAACTAGATGTTGGAAGTTTGGAAAGTCCCAGTGGGTCTTCAGATTTCATGCCCATAAAATTTGAGATCTTACCTACACATGCATATACAATGAGCTGGAAAGAACATAATTGTACAAAACAAAGCCACCCAACCCATGTGGAAGTCGTTCCTGTTTTTAAACATAACTCCACGCTTATTTTCAAAAAAAAGAAGTCTGCCCAGGCTTTCAGTACGCTGACCACAAATGAGGATGGTGACAGATAAATGAAACTAAATGTTTTGTACATGTTGGTCACCTCTTGTATTTGTTCTTATGATGTGCATTACCCTTTACTAAACAGTGCCTCCATCCTATACCTGATAACATGTAGAAGGTCTTCTAAACCTTTACCAATGATGCTGGGTATTCAGGACTCTGTGCAGACATTTCGGGCTTACACATTCTTAACATAAGTAAATCTAATTCTCTCTTGTGCTTGTGCTCAGGCTGCTACAGGTTTTCAAATTCTTCAGCAACAAATCAATGCTGGATTCAAATGGTGAGCTTCCATCAAGTAAAATCTATCATGTTGCAACCTGATGTAATTCAAATTAAGCTGACCCTGAAAACTGCCGGGGGGTCAATACACTCAGTTGCTGTCCAACTCTAATAAAAACCGAAAGAACTGCGGATGCTGTAAATCAAGAACAAAAACAAAGTTGCTGGAAAAGCTCAGCAGGTCTGGCAGCATCTGTGAAGGAGAAAACAGAGTTAACATTTTGGGTCCGGTGACCCTACCTCAGAACAACTCTACTTGAGTTTTAGAGATAGTAGGAACTGCAGATGCTGGAGAATCTGAGGTAACAAG